CTTTGTTTATAACGATTCTTATGAAGTTTCGGAATCCAATATATACATATTCAAATTCATTTTGGTTCTTTGGGATATTAAAAGTATTCAAAACTGATATATGATTTTGAAGAATTTCTTCCTTAGGAAGGGAACTACAATTTCATTAAATTCTGTAATTTCGGTTAAGTGATGAATTCATTTTATGGAATATTTATAAACGAGGCCCTTAGGCCGTGTTTCTATGCTCAATTTGATAAAGATATGTATTGAGTAAAATATAGAATCATTGTGACTTTCCCAGGTTACCCAAATAAAGATAAAATGATAAAATAAGCACATACCTGCGGGTATTTTTGTCTAAACGCAGCAACTTGTTTAATTAAAAACTATCTTTCAAAGTAATAAGTATTATAAAATGGGTAGGTTAAAATCAACTCAAGCGCTTGGGATTTATTTGTATTTTCTGATGTTGCTGCTGACATAGTTTTGTCTTTAAATCAATTTCTAACCACAATAGTGCGAAACATTCTTAGCAATCCTTAAGTCGTCCATATATTGTTTAAAATGAAGGGAACAACTGTTCCCGTGTGTGTCATAAAACGCAGAAATTAACTTTTTAAATTAAAAAAATCATCTAACGAAAAATCTCGAGAGTTCAGTTAAGTAGATTTATGAAAACGTTCTTTTCAATCCCGTTTGGAATGAAGGATTATCTTATAAGAAAATAAAGTAAGTCTTTTAATTTATATGACAAATTATCACAAACTTTTGAATCTTAGGGGATTCACTTTTTAAAACAAAAAACCAAGAAACTAGTCAAAAGATCCCCAGAAGTTATGTTTATATCAATGTTATAGGATATCCAAGACCTGTACAATTATCGAAATATTGATTGATTTTTAAAACAGATTTATTTTATTAAACATAGTAAACTTTGTTTTTTTATTTATGCTATTGAAATTAATTTTTCTATTCATGTTTTGCATTAAATTTTATTGCAGATTTAAACAATTATAAAATTAGGAAATTGAAAAATAAGACTGGCTTGAAAGTAAAACATTTTTGCTAAATATGTGTTTTTCATTGATAAAGCCTGTACAAGCCGTGTTTACAAATCTATGGTTTTAAATATTTAAGATATACTGATTTTAAATCAAGGTTATTATATTTCCAATTAATAATTTAGATTTGTTGGCCGCCTGGTTAAAGCTGCGCAGAAAGGGGTCGATCCGGATCTTTGGCGGCTTGTTGAATCCCAGTGCGGGACGTGGAGACCGGTCCGCCGGAGGATATAAACCTAGGTCCCGTGGCTCAGGTCCCATGTCTCGGGTCCCGTGTCTCAGGATTCACGTGTCTCAAGTAGGTGCTGGCACAAAAGATATTTCACAACAGTGGAACTGAGTGTCAAGTTTCGGTCTAAAGCAGTCCTCCCCTGGAAATTTCTGGCATCTCAATATGAATGAAAAATTCTCGAAAGGGACTTAAACATACAATCAAAAAATATTTTTGTCTGTCACTGCGTGCATGACATGATTCAACCAAAATGGAGCAATAAACAGTGTTCTTTAATCTAGCATTCCTGTCATGTCCTTCAAAACAAATGTTTAAAAATAGCTGTATAGTGTAGTCGCTATTTTTATTTTAGAAACATATTTTTCTCCCCTCTATCATCTCAATGAAATCATTGAGATTTTCTATGAACTCTTTTTTCGTTATCTAATAGCAGACGCCGTAGGCGAAAACGTTCTCCTAAAGAATTCATATTCTGACTGTTCTCCTAAAGAATTCATATACTGTTCGTTATCTCCATATCCTTCATTCATCTTTTCGAACTTCATAACGTGATTATGTAATTTTTAAGTTACCTTACAATAAATTTTTTTTTTTCTATTTAATATATTACCTCTGCTACCTGTATATTCCTAGAGATGGAGCAAAATGAAAAGACACAATATGTAAGTGCATAGAGATTCCTAGTCTCTCCAACTGTCACTAGCTGAGGCCTTCAACTCGACATCTAGATACTAGTACAGTTTGTATATCAAAGACGTATTGTCAATTAACAATGGTAATTTCCATTCTTATGTTGATACAAAAATATATGCAGGTAAGCTAGAGAAAATAGATACCAAAGAGTCTGACACACTTGTTCTAGATTTGGATATTTAACTAGAAAAAAGACGTTATTGGTAATCTAACAACCAAGCTCTATGATAAACGTGATGACTTTACCTTTTCAATCGTAAACTTTCCTTACTTACGCAGCTATATACCTTTATCACCTGCACACGGATTTATATCTCTCTGTTGATTTGATACACAAGAGCATGCTCTACGTTTGAACGATTTCTAAAACGAGTAAATTATTGACTAACAAGTTGTCGAAACATGAATATCAGCAGTCATGTTAAAAGTCATCATTTCGTAAGTTCTATGGTCGATACAATGAACTTGTCAGCAATATGGTTGATTCGACCTTTTCAGTGAATACTATCTAACATAAAGTCAAATGCTGACTGACATATTTCATACTAAATGTTAGGTCATTATTTACACACTGAATATTTATCCGTTATTTCCCGCAAGGAGCACACGGTGATGTGACCGGTTGGAAGGGGGGTGTTAATTTCTCCATGGCACCTGATCCCACTTCTGATGTTTTGGAGCTCCGTGTTGGCTCTGCTTCTTTCTTGTTAGGTTTTTATGGATTTTTGTGCTTAAATACTGTTCGTTATTTCCATATGTTTAATGAATACTGTCTTAGTACTGGACGTTGGTTAAATGAACCAAGAGAGATAAGATTATGTAAAAAATATTTAAATGAAATAGGAGATGAATTCCATTACATATTAAATTGTCAGTGACACGTGAAAGAAATAAATGTTTAACGCAAAAACAATAACGATTCAAAAATACAATTACATTTAGAGAAATAAAGAATTCAGATAAACAGTCATTTTTAAGAAAACTGTTTATTTATTTAAAAAATTACTAAAACGTGCTCCCCAAATTAGTAAAGATCTAAACTAGGGATGTCAACGAATAGTCCACTATTCGACTATCAGTCGAATGGACCGACGATCGAATAATGAAACGGCATTCGAATAATAAATAATTTATGCAAGAAAAGGAGGTGATAAAGAAATTCTCATTTCAAAAGTAAAAAAGCGTCATTCGTCCTTAAACCATTATGGTATACGTTCTCAGACGTATAAAAGCTCAAACGCCTGCATTAAGGAATCACTGTCTAGTTAGTGTAGTATGCCAGGGCATCAACCATGCCAATTTCAATAGTCTTCGCCCACTGACGTCAAACACAAAGGCAGCCGCACGAGATTTACATGCATATTTGGCCTCCTTAGCATCAGACACAGAGACAGATGCGCACGAGATTTGCATGCATATTAGGCCTCCTTAACTCATGACCTATCGACCTGCCTAATTTACATTCCGTCAGAATTATCAAGAAATAAACTCCCTTAACTTTCAAAGATTTATCACAGAGAAAAAAAAATGAGAAATGGAAATATTAGTATATAAATAATTTTCCACATTGTACTTATGGGAAGTACAGTTCGTGATATCAAACCGCGATAATTATTTCTCAATTACTGACCTCTTTTGTTATTGTAGTTAATTATGCAGCTCGAAACTTGACTTTGAAAGTTATTAATTAAACTTACTAGAATGAAACTGACTGTACAGACCAATGAATGTGACGAGAATTCGTAGATTTTGGAGAATCGCTAGTGAAAATCTATTTCATTTCATTATCTTATCTCTAATCTCTGAGATCCGGTGTGCAATACAGGTATTTGATGTTAGTTTTTCGACAAAAAGGGTCTTGAATTATAATACGCTATCGATGAAATAAAAAAAAAATGTTCCGAATAGTCGACTATCGTTCGAATAATGCAATCGAATGTTCGACTAAGGAAAATGAATATTTTGACATCCCTAATGTAAACCTATAATTGTACTATTTGTCTATCCTCATACTCACGCATGCTATATATGTTTTTATTTGTCATCATTGTTGTTTACATTTATATCTCGCTATACAATTGTAAAATTGTGAAGAGATCAATAAATTCAGTTCAGTTCAGTCCAGTGAACAATAAACTGCACACAAGACTAAAGTAATTATGTGTTTAAAACGCTAAATCTTTTTTAGGTGTACAATAATGATATCTATTCCATAATGCTCTTGCTAAAGGTAGGAGACAAACAGTATAAGTTTTACTAAATGGCCTGATTACACCGAGTCCAGGAAAGAGTTTCTCGACAAGTTCTGGGCTGTTGACACATACTTTACTCTGGGGGATACTTACTCAGTACTCCTGAAATTGAATATCTCTTTTCTGTTTTATATTCTTTTTTTCAGCATTCTGGCAGAGTTAATTGATTGTTCTAAAAATTCATTATTGCCATGTATAGGTCAAATGATTTAGTTGTATAAACATACATGTATTTCTATATTGTGAGTTGATTTATGCTGTACAAATTGTTTCAAACAATTATAATTCGCTTTTGTGTGACGTTACATGTTGGGAGAGGGCAAATGATGTGCCCAACCCCATCGTATATAATTTTTGCACTAAAATATGTTCAAACCAACCAAACCTGTGAGGTTTTTTTTTGTTGGTTCAAATTGATGAAATATGCTTTGAAAAATAAGATTACAGATGAAGCCGTGTACAAATAATATAATGTAGCCCTTTTCTTTGGTCAATTAAAATTCATAGATATACCGGTACTGTACATGTATCGACTTAACAGAGAAGCATATCGACCTCCAACTTCTGAGAACCATTTATAGCTGGAAGCGTCAAATAATGATCAATGTATGTTTAATACAGATAAGCACTTAATAATATTTTTTGTGAAAAACCTTTATTCAAAGTAAAAATTGAGAACAATTTAACAATGTATATATTTGCAAGCACCTTTCGCAGAACAATTTTTAAAAAATTATTCACAACAAAAGATTTAGTAAATGACTATTAATTCTCATTATCTTTGGTAATTTTTAGATTTACAGTTGTAAAAAAAATTACGCATGAATTCGTTGTTAGGTTACTTACAAAAATAGCTACATGTACATCCCATACAGAGAAAATTCGAAATATAATCTAGAGCTATTGTGAGCGATGAGCTCACGAAATGATTTCCCCGCCTCTCATATGGTTATAATGGCAAAGTCCGTGTTTTGCTGTGGCCGGGAAACCCAAAATATGTGTCGGATCAAAATGTAATATAGGAGATGCACAAAAGCATTATGTACTAAAGAATCTGTCAAAGTATCATTAAATTTTATTCAGTGGTATAAGAGGAGTTGCTGATAAGAGATGGGTACCCTTAAATATTATTTTAAAAAAAGACAGTGTCCATGTTTTGCCACGAGAAACCCAAAAGATGTGTCCGATCAAAAAGTAAAATCAGAGGTGCACAAGGAGATGGGTACCCCAAAGAGTAACAGACGGACATACAGACAGACGGATGGACATCCTGATCACTGTATACACTGTACCCTCTCACTTTTCAAGTGGGAGGTATATAAAAAAAGAAAGAAGGAATCTAGCGGCAGCCCCAAGTTCTTAAATAAATGTTACACGTTCTTTGAGAAAAAGGTTACAATTTACCTTCAACTTCCATGCTCATTTTCACAGGATTTTAAAAATTTACATCCATCAAGAAAGTAAATTTTCTCAAAATAAAAATTGTATCGTTGCAAGACAATAAAACGAGCCCCAAGAAAAAGATTTGGAAAAAAATAATAGTGTTGTATACTTGTATATCTGAAGATGAAATAAACACATTTTCATGGTTTGATAAAAAAAAAATCACATGACAACTAAAATAGACAACAAACAATGCTAATAATATAAATTAATTGAATGAAGTAGTGTGTAGCTTTGGCATCCATACAACTATCCTTCACGGGAAGCATTAAATCACAAAATCCTTTGACCAATTTTCTCATGAAATAATCTTCAAGCCCAAAAGTAATTGGGAAATGGCTTCCATCTTCCACACGCTATGCGTGATTCCAAAATCCATTTTAAATAGAGGATGACATGGTAGAAGATCGACTATGACAAAAATGCCAAAGGCTTCTCTGTCGTCTTTGTTGAGCATTGTTATCGTACCTGAAAAATGTTCGAAGAAAAAGTCGAATGTGAGGCTTGAATTTTTTGTTCAGTATGAAGTATATTACTGGGTTCCATATTGTGGAGGTCTTGGCTACGAGAACTGAAGCTAGTGTTAATCTCAGGGGGATGTTCTTGGCTTCGCCATAGGCCGCCCAAAAGCTGACAACGGCATACGGCGTCCACGTCACCATGAAAGCACAACACATCATAAAAGCCATCTGAAGCAAAATAAAAGGAACACAGTTAAGAGCGTGAAATACATCACAGTTAATAACGTTAAATAGTTCTTTAAAAGCGTCAATGTCAGCATTCATAACCGAATAATAATTTGCAAAACTGGTTGGCAACTACACAAAATTAAAACTGAAAATAAGCTTCTGATTTTTACTCCCGAGTTATCCCCCTATTTTCCCCCTTTTTATATACATTAAATAGCAGCTGCTCAAAGTGATGATTGCAATTTTAGCCAATACTTGATTTCTGTTACTACGAATCTTACGTTGAGTAATTAATGATCTTAAATGTCACGAAGAGTGCAGGAAGGATATTGATCAAAATAAAACAATATCTATAAAGATTTCACAGTCATCTATTTTTCTACCAATAAAATATTTTTTTTTTAATTTGAGTGATTTGATATGACTTGTATAAAATGAAATAAAGGCTACACACAAAAAATTAAATTGACTAAGGTGTGCTAAAATTAAAGCCCTCGGTCCATACAGATCATCTGATTAACTTTTCTCTCTTTCTGACAATTAATTATGTGGATTATTGGAACCTTCAGTTGATTTTTGTTTCATTTCAAACTTTTTATCCCAGATAAACTGGATGATGCTAAAAAACAAATTATTATTGCATAGTTTCTGGTTACTCTATTAGAGTTTTGAAAACAGGATTTTGTTTCTGTAATAAAAGTTTACAGCAAAAGTTTAATGAAAAAAAACCAAGATTCCTTTATTTAATTATATTGAGAACGACTTGTTTCAAACTACAATGTGAAAAACATTTGTTTCCACCATAATATCTGTTTAAATTTCAATCGACTAAAAATCTATTTCTAAAATTGCATCGTAAAATACTTAAAAGTTCCATTTAGAAGGGCACCTTAATTTTTCTAAACAAACTGTATCATTTAATTGGTATATTTTAACCTGAAAAAAATAATTTTCCAACGCATAACTCCATTTTAATTTTTTTCTGAATTCTGTCAGATACCACTGCCAAGTAAATGGGTCAATTGAGTTTTCCAGTCTTGCATGTTAAAGAAAAAAAAAAACAAAAAGGCAGAATGCGATACATGGTATTGCAGATAAATTATAGCAAAAGAGAATGGTCTGAAAGCCAAAATGTTTGAAATTCTCAGTAGGGTCTACCTCCATGACCTTGACTAATATTATCAATCTCAGTTAAGTGTAAAGTTTTGCATTACGTCACGATCTTTTTCGACAGATGCATCCAGCTTAAACAATTCAGCTTAAAAGCTTAAAAACCGCTTTATGATTGATCAACTCATATTATCAACATTGAAACGGAAATAGTTTTTTGCACGAGCAACCAATCAGGGATTAGAAGAAACTTCCAGTCGTAAAGCTTGCGGTTAGGAGGCGTGTACTATTTGCCTTGAGCGCAGCTGTCAAACTAGATCGTGAGGTAACGTAAAACTTCACATTTAACTGAAATTGATAATATTTAGATTTATATTTAAGGAGAGGAATTCACTACGTTATATAGAACTTTTTTTCCAATCCTTTTGATTGATATCAATAAACTATGTTCAAACAATCAAAACTTATATTTAGAATTTTAGGGGTAAATTTTAGATATGGAAACAATTGGCCCAATCTAGTCCTTGAAAATATTTTCTTGGGGAAAAAAGTTAATCTGAAGCTCATAAAGATATCTCAAAAAAACTTAATCTCCGAATTACTAACCGCAAAAAACTAGTACAGTGAATTAATTATGCAGGGCAATGAAGAGGCTCTTTTTGGAGAACTAGGTAGTATTAGATATTTTATTTTTAATTTAATCAGTATTGAATTATGTGAAGAGAAATTACATCAGTCATTGCCCTGATAAGTCATAAAGTCCTCTACAAGAAGGTCAAGGTTACAAGTGTTTGGAGTCAACGCGAAGGTGCAATGGTTGACATCATTATAAATTATATTATTTTTATTAGATAAAACAGTGAAATCGACCTATGTTTATCAGGAATTTGAAGTACTCATACATGCATCTGCGTATACTTCTAAATAAATAATTCATTTAAAAAATGAAAATATATTTAAAGCGCAACATTTTAAATCTTTTCTATTTGCAATTTACTAGTACATGTATTTTCTTTCCATATGTTAATTCCTTTGACCCCTCGTCATAGGGTCTGTAAGTCTCGTTACGTGACCAGCTTCAATCCAGAGTTCCCGATTTGTACAATCTTGAATATACATGTATATACTCCAAAAAAAAATATTTATTTCTGGACCTGGCAGTGTTTTTTAGAAGATTTCTAAAGGATTTCCCTTCAGTTTTATTATCTATTACTTATATACCCTTAAATTTGGTTCTTCATTTCAAAAAACTCAAATTTTCTTAAACAATAATAAAATATGGTCAAAATTGTTCTAGAGAAGAGGTCCTACATATAATAAGGAATAGATTTTGTCTGATTTGCACACATACATACAAACGGACAACTGTTTAAAAACTTCGATTTGAAACATTTACTTGAACATAAGGTCATGTGAGCTAACATCTTCCCAAGTCAAGAGTTTCTGATCTGCTCCGCTCCACATCTTCCCAATTGCAAGTCAAGAGTTTCTGATCCGCTCCGCTATATGTGGAGCGGAGCGGATCAGAAACTCTTGCCTTGGGAAGATGGTGAGCTAAAAGTACAGAATTAATATTTTAAAAATGAAATGTAAAAAATCATATGATGGTTTAAAGAAATTTACATTTATATACATCCTTAAAACTAACCTTGATAAGATATTCCTCCCTTTTCCGAATGTTGTCTCCCGTTTTACTCCGCACTGTTCGAAATGCTTTGCAATGTCTACGGAGATAAAGGTACACCCCTCCATAACAAAATTTCATTACAATGACTGGGAACACAATGCATAAAATCAGCATCAAGGTCACAAAACCTTTGTTGGCTGTCCACTTTAGTGTACAGGAAGTTCCATATGGCTCCACTCCGTATTGACCCCATCCTAACAGCGGAAGTGAAGCCCATAGGCATGCGTACACGTAACTTCCAATGATGAAGAAATTTGTATATTTTGAGAGAGAAGAAGCTGAAAATAAAATGATTTACGGTATTTAATAAAAAAAAAATACTAAAAAATGATTTGTAATTATTGGCAATAGCTCTGTTACAATATGATGTAAAAGTTATTTGACTTATTTAATTTGCTAACATTGTACACACTTCACTGAACTTGGACAGACACCTTATTTATATTCTATTTTGACTTTTCTCAATTATGGATATTTTTATGTCTTTTATCAAAACACTGCAGATTTCCCCTCTTTTTTTCAAGATTAAGGACTGTTTATTAAAGTGTGACGATGTATGAAGGATATGGAGATAACGAACAGTATTCAATATTAAATTCCATAGAACAATACAAATGATAAGAAACAGAGTAAAAACAATACTTCGTTTGGGGAACATAAATAGGAATGGAGCAAACACGGATCTCTGAAACATCAGAGGTGGGATCGGGTGCCATGGAGGAGTGAGCATTCCCTGCTGACCGGTCACACCCGCCGCCACGGTGTGCTCCTTGTCATGATCGGGAAATAACGGAAAAATCCGTCGTCAATTCAGTGTATAAATAATGGACTAACAATTAGTATGAAAAATGTCAGTCAGCATTTGACTCAATGATAAATTGTATTTGCTTACAAGGTCATTGTATTGACCAAAGAACTTAAGAAATGATGACTTTAAACGAGACTGCTGATATTCCTGTTTCATCAACTTGTTTGTCAATAATTTGCCTCGTTTTAGAAATTGTTCATATGCACAGCATGCTCTTGCGTATCCAATCAACTGAGATATATAAACGCCGTATGCAGGTGATGAAGGTATATTGCTGCACAAGTAAGGGAAGTTGAAGATAGAAAAGTTAAAGTCATCACGTTTATCATAGAGCTTGGTCGTTAGATTACCATTAACGTCTTTTTCAAGTAAAATATCCAAGTATGAAACAGATGTTTCAGACTCTCTGTTTTCTTTTATCTCAAGCTCACCAGGATATATCGTATAGACACAGGAATGGCAATCCAGAAGGACCACCCGAATTCGTTGTTTTGACAATTTTCAGACATAAGAGGAACCAAAACAAACCTTTATATAGAGGTCGGAAACGCTCTTTCACCATACATGTTAATAAGTAAAGAAAGTATACAGTGTATTTTAAAAAGATCCGAAGAATTTAAACTTTCAAAAAACTTTTTATAAATTGATGATTATTAGTAGGATTCGGTTGTTTGGAGCAGTTAGTATCTACATCCAGTTTAACATTCGGCGATACATATTCTATATCGCTAGTTTTTTTCCCGCCAGATAAATATTTGGGTTATGTCCATTAATAATTGCTATGGAACTTTATGAAAAAAAGTAAATAAAAATACGTGTATATAGATTGTAGATAAAAATGTTATTATCTATATAGTAATTTAATTAAATATGATGTATACATGAATATTTTTGCGTTCTAAGGATTTGTTTACATTATATGCTAGTTGACACTCAAATTTCAACAAAAAGAATGATGAAAATATGATATTGGAACAGAATACTTAAATCAAGATTGTTGAGGAGGTCACTACTATAAAACTGATAAACAAGACTCTCGTGGAGCTAAATGGTTTCCTCACGAGTTTCTCAGGTTACACGTGTAACCAATTCGTTCTCATCCAGACTGCAATTCCAAACAGAATGGCAAGAATTTTATTGGTAGAGCTTTTCATAGTAATCATCATAACCGGTGAATCAATGATTTTAAATACTCAAGGGTAAATAAAATATTTTAAATATTAAACAAATTTTAATGATCAAATATAGGCATCCATTTAGATATTCCCAAATCCTACACACATAGGTAAAAAATTTTACATTCTACTACAGGTATTGCTGAGATCAAAGACATTGCATTCTCCAATGAATCACGAAAGTCATAAAAAATTATCAGACCAGACACACGTATTAAACCTGTACAGTTAAAATTAATATTGGACTTAGGAATGACGATATCGATGTATCGTCTTTCGCAGTCTGACCACTGGGTATTGCATAAAGAAGCTGATGGATGCTTTTAAAGTTGGGCTCTTCCATGGACCTCCCCATAATATTGATACTTCGTATTTTACAGATAAAGCAATAAAACACACAACTGATTTTGTTGTTGTACATTCATAAAAATTAATCAATATATATGCCTCTATATGTAACAAATTTATAATTAAAATAAATGCTACTTTTAATCTAACGAAAGCTCAAATCGTCTACATTCCAACAATACATTGACCCCCTGGTGTTAAATGGAACAGCCTAATAGTATTGTATATTGTTTTAACGTCCCTCCAGAGAATTTTTCACTCATATGGAGACGCCACCACTTGCCGATGGAGAGCTGCAATTTTTGTCCTGTACTCGGCAGGGCCATTGAGCAGGAAGGGATCTTTTTCATGCCAGCACCTCTGCGACACGGGTTTTCGGTTTATACGGTCTCATCCGAATGACCGGTCTCCACGTCCCACAGTGGGATTCGAACCCGCGACGTAAGGATCAACTCCTTACTTCGCGACTCTAGAGCAGACGCTTTAGATAACCACTGCGCTACGCAGGCGACCAGCCTAATAGTAACATGGTGACCTAATTACAGCCCGGAGGACCGGGCTGCTCTATACATATAAGTTTAAGTTTTTGTGTATGGGATTGAGGTGGGTGTAGTTATTTAAGGAATCAGTGTCTAGTTAGGAGACTATGCCAGGGCATCGACGATAGTGGGAAACATGGGATAATTTGAATAACGGACGAAGCCCAACACTGATATTGAAATGTTACTCTTTCCGGAAAAATCATTCTCTAGTATGGGTCTATTATTTTAAAATATGAAGTCATTCAAGTTTGAGCGATTTTATGTTTCGGCGCTTCCAGAAATGAGGGTATAACTTTTTTCTTTAAGCAAAACATTGAGGCATAAAAAATACCATTACATATTCTAAATTACTTCACATATTTGAAAGCATTTTGTAAATCCTAATAAAGTTTTTAGAGAGAGAGAATCTAAGTGATTGTTTTTATACAATCAGTTCTTGGGCGATTTCACTTCTTGCTTGACGTTCCCGTAGGAATATGAGCGGGATAAATTCGATTGATTAATGCTTTAGCATTTGATATTTCAAAGATTTTTTTCTAAATTAAAGAGAATACGAAAGAAATAACTTTGTAAATTAAAATGATTTCTGTTCAAAAAATCGGTGAAAGCGAATATTCCGGATTTCAGATGACGTTAGAGAAGCCAAAATGATCCCAATTTACTTCGTGATAAACGTCTTAGTATCAGAACCTTGTTCACATTATGTTTAACAGAAATAGGTTGTAACCGATATTTTTTTCTTATAAACTAATGACATGCTTAGATAAGAAATTTACCAAGAAAAAATCGAACTCAGTCAATCATTTATTTTCCATTTAATAAAGAGAAATCTGTTAGAATAATCTGAAAATACACGTGAGCATAATTGTTTGATCAAGGTCCGCATTCAGGATCAGTTCATTATTTTTTTTTTTTTGTCTCTCAAGGACAATGACGGCATTCTGTTAATCAAAGTATGACAAAAAGTATATGATTGCTTTAATAAACAATCTCCATAATCAAGCACGCGGAAATAGTCGTCCACTCTCCCGTAAGAATACAATGAAAATAATATCTGTCTTTCTAGTTTTCTTTCGTCTTCCTTTCATTAGTAGACTAATTTTTCCTATTTATCGTTGTATTATTGCAAGTTTCCATCAACACAGTTATCCGTCTGTTTTGTAACGAAGTGGTTAAATCTAAAACTATTCTAAAATTATTTGCTTCTATAGGTTTATTATAAATTAAAGTATATCTACAAGTGACTGCTATGAATCATTCACAAATATGACAGGTCACCCGCGTGGCGCAACGGTTAGAGGGTCTGCTCTGGAGTCGCGAAGTAAGGAGTTGATCCTTACGTCGCGGGTTCGAATCCCACTGTGGGACGTGGAGACCAGTCCTTCGGATGAGACCAAGACCGTACATTAATTGAGGTCCCGTGTCGCAATAGATGCTGGCACGAAAAGGACCCCTCCCTGCTCAATGGCCCTGAGTGCCGAGTATAGGACAAAATTTGCAGCTCTCCACCGGCAAGTGGTAGCGTCTCTATGTTAGTGAAAAATTCTCAAGAGGACGTTAAACAATATACAATCAATCAAATATTCCAAAGTATTTGCCATATAATTATCATTCAAATTGGTTTACAAGCACATATCTAGTTAGCTGCAGATCTGTAGCGTTATGGTTTTATATAGTAGTCTTGACCAGACTACTATATAAAACTATAACGCTACAGATCTGCAGCTAATATCTAGTTAAAGCTTATACCTTAATTTCAAATCAGAAGAGGAAATTTTATAAAAGAAAAAAGGATCAATCAGTTTTATTCCACTCCTTTCAAAACATAATGCACCCAGCCACACTGTTTACAAAGAACTAGGTGAGATAAGCTGAGTCTCGGGACTTCCCACATGGCGGCTGTTTAAGTCGACTATTCCCCCCGTACTCCATACCTCTCTCGTAAACACAGTTACGCACACCTACATCACTTCAATGACGAATTATGTGCCGAAGCTTATGTAACTTTATATATAAAAAAATAAGGGCGTACTTTTCTTAGTAACTATTACTGAATTTATTGATGTTATTGTTACACTGTCAACGAAAAAAGGCAAGATCGATTTCTCAGAAGTATTTAATGAAGGTACACGAAAGATTCTGACTTTTATCCACAAAGGGATTGATCCTACATGTAGTTTTTGATTCTTATTACTCAAGAAGATGTCATTGAAAGCAATGGAGTTATGGCCTTATATGGCAACAACTTGTATACGTGCAATGGTTTGTACTAGTTCATTGTAAATAAAAGGCATTGAAACAAATAAATGTATATCTACTTACATTTGCTGGATTTACACACATGGATATATCTTGAGAAACTCATCAAAGCTAATGTAGATATGCTGACCACTCCACAGAAAAATCCAAGACACCCATAGGCACTGCATCCTATACGTAATGGAGACATTTTTACAAATAGAACTGCATATGACTTCCAGCAAATAAACATGTAATTTACAAATCTGTTTTTTTTTCTCTCTCGCTAAAATTATAACAATCCTCGATAAAATAATGCCTAACATTTTATTTGTTTACTTTACCTTGGAATCCAATTTATATTTTTTAAGTTTTCAAACTGGCTTGAGCTTTGACTTATAACTGTTATATATCCTCATATATCAGAGTAATAGATACAAAACACTGGTAATTGAGAAACCTGCTATTTCCTCTTATTAAATGATTTTCTTTAAGTAAAAATATATCCTAAATTCAGTTTTTCAGTGCCAGTATACGGCGTAAGTCCAAGAAACCGATCACAGAAAGAATATAACGAGTTTTTTTAATTTTAAAAAAGGGAATGAATAAAATTGTTTACCGCCTGCACCAAACTTCCATCGATGAAAAAATGAGGATGAAATTCCAAAAGGAAGCCCCACAACAGATAGGATTAAGTCACTGACGGCAAGGTTTACAATGAAGTAATCCGCCGGAACAAGGCTGTTACGTTTACGTACACACACAATGATGACGAAAAAATTCAGCACAAAGGATATTACCGCTGAAAGAGAAAAAACAATTTTATAGTATTGTTTAGTGTAAATGTAGCATAGAATAATATGTTTTACGGTGTGACCGTTGGGGCGAGCGCAGTTGTACCATCAAAAACACTTGAGATCAGCCACTTCGAACGTCAAGCCGCACGAGATATCTCGACTAGCTGTGACGTCATACGACGTCACAAAGCTCGTCGGAGCTTGAGACAGCCGAGCGTCTGTTTGAAACTATAGAACTAGTGCAATTTTTGTCGAAAAACATTGCAGAGTTATTTCTTGTTTCTTTGAAAGATTTCTACAAACTGAAAGTCTGATATATGCTTTACGTTATTATTTATTTATTTATTCGGCAATATTCGCGCAAAGGACATTGGGTAGTGCAGGAATTCTGGGAATGTTGCACAGAGAAATTTGGCTGACGTATGTACAGATTTCAATCCGAATTTCCTCTGTTCTTACACGTTAGTCTATTGAGCTCGCTGCGCTCGCTATTAATATAGTATAAACCAGAGACCTCGGAATGGAATACATTTGGTAGTCTCTGGTTTTATCCTACAACTATAACCCCAACCGGAAGCTTATGTATCCCATCTACGGTCTTATTTTGTATCGAGGTAATTTTCGATGAATAAACAAGTAGTTTACATTAAAAAGGCACGACCAGAGACGATTAAATTGACAAGAAAATGTCTCTCAAAGTGAACTATGCCACTTTAAAGTAGGTTAATGATTGATGTATTAACAAAATACGATCTTGAAGCAGGGGTGCCTGACAATGAGTAAGGTACTTTGTGGTAAAAATAAGTAGGGGTGCCCAGTATACGAAATAAGTACCTGTGCTATAATGACTGCTTCTTGATCAAACATCAGGTACTAGTTAGAAGTTAAAGTCGAGACTTTCGAATGAGGCCTTATAAACTGAGCTTCCCTTTCCTCATAATTCTCATTTCGAATTTTTAAAAATATGTAACCACGAACCTTGGGAAAAATCATTATAATAAAAACAAATAAATACACTGTATAAATAAGATACAAATAGACCTAGCAAACAAATGGATGAAATGAGATTGATAAATTATGGCTAACTATTTTGTCTAAAATATTTTGTAATGTATCTTGAATTCTCAACTTAAATTTAATTGAAATTGAGGACGTTTGAACTTTATCAGGATCGATATTCCTTGTTTAACTTGTTACCTGAAAAACTTATTCACGACAGTAATCACAATCATTATTTTTGAACTGCTTAAAGGTTTGTATATTTCCCCCCAAATCTAACTTAGATTCGACGAACAAATCACAAAAATGAAAACACAATTAAAAAAAAAGGAAAATATGATCATGGTGATCAGAAAAATACAGCTTAAGGTAAATTTAAACTAATAGCAGTTTCAGGGCCCACATCAATGGCTCGGGCGGAGGACATTTTAACAGAATTGCAAAAATTGGACATTTTGTTAAAAAAAATTGAAGGATATTTCACCTGAAAAAAAGTATTTTCTGGGAAAAGGGGATTTTTTTAATTCGCGTTTTTTCACAGTTAAGATAAAAGAAAAGGGGTTATGGGTTTTTTTCTACCATCAGTGGGTTTTTTGGTGGGGTTTGTTTGTTTGTTTGTTCTAGTTTAGTTTGTGATTTTTATAATTTTGTATTTGATTTTCATCTCTTTTTGTCTTCATCTTTTGTCGTAGAAAGTCTCCGTGTATAAGAGTGTCTGATTTCGAAACCAAATCTATTCAAATGACATTCAAGGTTACTTTTATAAGACTGACGACATGATGCATGTTCGATGCCATGACTTATAAAATATCCTGCGCCCTAATTTACGGTCTTCTGCTATATAATCGAAGACGATCTATCAATCAATGAAGAAGACCTACATTAGCTTTATACAGTCTTAAACTCTTACATAATCTTGACACGCATCTTCACGGTTACATAGAAAACAAACTTAAAAGTGATGGTGGTAATAAGTAAACGAATAAATACTGTAATCGAAAATGATGTTTGCCAATGGAAGGAATATATAAAAGTATTTATTATCTCTGTGGTCTATGTCTAGACCTTTTATACAAGGAGAGTGGATGCATATAGGTTTTGCCTAATACCAAATCCTTACTGAATTCATATATTTAAAGCAAGAAATTTTACACGTCTTTTATCAGTCTTTCTCCTAACTTTTGGTGGTTCCACTTTTGTAACTTTGTTAAAGAATGTTAAAGCACGTTAGTAATTGTTAGTTTGCATATTAAAGTAATACAAATATTGAAAGTTGTTTACATATACAAGTATTTCAAATTATTATATACTCATGAAAGGTAAAATATATGTGACTTGAAAAACTAGTTTATGGTGCTGAATGTTATTGAACATGCCTGCGAGCTTGCATACTATGAATTCGTAGCAATATAAATATGTCTCTGAATTAGCCAGATTTATAGCATAAATGATCGATACACTGAAAACGAATTTAAAACAGAAAATCTGTTAACAAATTGCAGTAAAAAATGTCTACTTAAAAATATAATTAAATGTCATACAGTAATTTATCATTGAGTGACATTTTAGGGATTAAATGTGTATAACGTTTGCATGTACTTAGAAGCAAGGTTATGGAAAAGAACCTTTAGAAAGCACCTTGTAATGCAATGGATTTGAATTTGAAGAAAGAATTCGCTTTGTTTATTGAACCTTTCTGATATCCAACCTCACCCAATTTTTTTTTTTTTTTACTTTTTTAAAAATAAGAAATCATCAAACCCAGAATTAATAAAATATAAATGACCAGTTTGCTTCAGAGTTCTGATAATTGAATACAATAAATAAAAAATAAGAAAGAATTGCAATATAACATTCAACATTCCGATAGTCTATAGAAATCCATCATACAAGTTACACGTCTGTTTCCATATAATTCCAGCTACATAAAGCTCCCAATTAACCAAACAACGCAGTATTTCCAACATATCTATCAAAAATTGCTCTGCCAACCAACATTAATATTTCCAAATTACCTGCCAAAAGTTGCCAAAAACAAACAACATAATATTCTCAACTTATCCGTCAAAAGTTGCCCTAACCAAACAAGATACATCTATCAACTTACTCGCCACAAGTTGCTCTAACCAAACAACATAGTACATGTATTCCCAACTTATAATTACCCGTCAACAGTAGCTGTATTCCTACAACATAGGATTCCCAACTTATCCGCCAACAGCAGCTGTGTTCCTACAACATAGTGTTCCCAACTTACCCGCCAAAAGTTTCTCTAAACAACATAGTATTCCCAACTTACCCGTCAACAGCAGCTGTATTCCTACAATATAGTCCTCCCAAACTGTTAACTTGGAATCAAACATGTCCAGCTCGCGTACCTCAGAAATATTTTCCAAATTAAGTGGAATATTAATATCAACTTCACTGTTTAACTTGTGTAAAGTTGTCATCGAAACAATTGCCTGTTGGCAGTGAGTAATGGACAATTGAGATGAGACATCAACCTGCTGATCCTTTTATTTTGTCCATTTGTCGCGGATTAAGTTCACCTGAGTTTCAGCATATCATTCTGCAGGTTAGAAGCTGTAAATTGAGGAAGGAGAATGGAGGTCCGCCGTATGTATTGGTCTCTCTTTAGGAGAAAATCGATATTCTCAACGCGCGGTGCACGTTAAACGTAAATTAAAATTTAAAAAAAAGAAGATTTTTGCGCTTTAATGTCGCACAAACAGACATACAGATGTATTCTAGTATATATTTAAATTCCTCGTGCACAAATTCAGTTTGATATTTCCATTTTTAAAAAAACTTGGTCTAAAGCGAGAGCTCGCATTTGCTAGTTGTAAAGGAGAGGGATGGGTAAAAAATAATTGTTTATTTCTGGATTTTTATCAAACAAGCAAGGTAACAGTTTAACAATAACGGCTTCACATTTTAAAACAGATGACAGAAATAAGAGTTTCATTCGATAAAGCAAACATATGACGAGTAATTGATAGAATTTCAATCCAAAATGTCACAGGATAATAATAAAAAATCATCGCTGAAACAACATCATCAAAAATTCTTGGATATTTTTAAAAGTGAAAATATTCAATATCAAAATATTTAATTTTGGGAGGTGGTGGTCTCAAGGATAATTAAACAGAGCCATTCAGAGGATCTTGAAGAATTCCATATAATGAAAATATTCCATTGAACTAATTATTTAAAATAAGCTATGTAAAGTAGAAGACTGGTCTTAAGCTTTTTTTTATACTATAACAGTATTTATTTCTACAGCAAACGCAAATAAAGTCATAGATCTTAGAATCAATGCTGGCGTCTCAGAAAGACATTCATTAACGAAGAGTTCGCACTGCTCTGGCAAAGGTCCAAACTTAATCAACACCTGTCTTCCAGGAAATCAAAAATAAATTCACAAGTTTCTAAATAACAGTCTAATAAATTAAGAAGTGTTAATGTATATTAGCAATCATAAGCTATATCTATATTTTAAATCGATTCTCTGACGTTTGTATTTGTGAAGGTCTTTTCTTCATCTGTTTCTCTTTTATTTTCGCTTCTGTGCAGGATTTTATATATTTCGTGTAACTTGTATGTACATATTTACTGATTTCTGAATAAAGAGGATAGATCGTCTTGTATTGATAATAACTTCGATTCCATTTACATGTATATCATTATCTTCATTAAATAATCTTGCTAAATAAAACTAGAGGTACTGTGAGCAATGAGCTCACTAGATGATACCCCCGCTTCCCAAAAGGATTATATAATGGCATTGTCCATGTTTTGCTATGGGAAACCCAAAATATGTGTCCGATCAAATAAGTAAAATAGGAGGTGCACAATGACAATATGTAATAAAGATTCTTTGAGGCAATATGTAATAAAGATTCTGTGAAAGTTTCATCAAATTTCATTCAGTGGTATGAGAGGAGTTGCGGATAAGAGATGGGTACCCCAAAGCGTAACAGACGGACGTACGGACGGACGGACGACGGACAAAATGTGATCAGAAAAGATCACTTGAGCCTTCGGCTCAGGTGAGCTAAAAAGGGTTAAGTAGTTATGTATAAAAAAATGTTAATTTTCTGTCTGAGAACAACATAGTGGTCGAAAATGACGTTCCCATACCTCCTCACATCTTACGTAAGATGATAAGTTTTGTTCTTCAAATGTGCAGTAGCCTTTTGGATTTTAATTTTCCGGGCCATAATGTAGGTCAAAATTGAAGTTTTTTTTGTTAGGAAACTGCGGGGAGTAGATGCTGGAAATACCTTTAAATTTTACGCTGAAGTCAAGTCATTTTTGGGAGATAGTTATCTGTATTCTGTAGATGTGTAAAAGGGTTTCAAAATGTTCTCTTTTTTAATAAAGTTTTATATTATATTATTATATTATGGTAAAAGTGGGTCGAACTAAAAGGTCAATGTCAGGAGGTCAAATTTGGCTATGCCCTTAGAAAGGTCTTGCCACAAACCTGTGAAATATGAAAGTCATAGCCCCACACACTTAAAGTTACGGGCAAGGTTAAAGTTTAAAGTTTTTGCAGACAGACAGAAGAACAGGGCAAAAACTATACACCCCCGAATCTTCGATTAAGGGGCAGGGGCACAAAAACGACGCTTTCTCGACAGCTTAAATGAAACATATGGAGATAACGAAGAGTATTTAAGATCAAAGTTCATAAAGCAATACAAAATAGGAGCGGAGCAAACACGGACCTCCAAAACATCTGAGGTGGGATCAGGTGCCATGGAGGAGTGAGCATCCCCTGCCGACCGGTCACACCCGCCGTGTGCTCCTTGTCATGATCGGGAAATAACGGAAAAATCCGTCGCCAATTTAGTGTTTAAATAGTGGACTAAAAATTAGCATGAAAAACGTCAGTAAGCATTTGATTCAATGATAAATTGTATTTGCTGACAAGGTCATTGTATCGACCATAGAACTTACGAAATGATGACTTTAAACAGACTGCTGAAATTCTTGTTTCATCAACTTGTTTGTCAATAATTTACCTCGTTTTAGAAATTGTTCGTACGTGGAGCTTGCGTATCAAATCAACTACAATATATAAACTTGGTATCGAGGTGATGGTGGTATATTGCATAAGCAAGGGAAGTTGACGATAGAAATATGAAAGTCATCACGTTTATCATAGAGCTTGGTTAAAATATGCTTTATAAAATAATTTTTGTGATTTCATAATACCAAAAAACAAGGGAGAGAACATTTAAAGGCAAAGTATTATATTTCTTTAAATTATAGTAAGAACAAATATTTTTTGCCCTCCTCTTTTGCGAAAACGAAAGCGAATCTTATTCGTCTACCAGTCCGTCTGTCTATCATAAAAACTTTAAATTTGGTCATAACGTTTGAATGAGAAGAGATAGGACTTTCATATTTTATATGTACATTAACTGTGACCTTTCCAAATATACTATGAGTTTTGACCCCATGACTTTGACCTTGAAATTTGACCTTTTTTAAAAAAAAATTCAACATCACTTTATATTGCCATAACGTTTGAAAGAGAAAAGTTCTAGGGATTTCATGTTATATATTTATATAACCTGTGACAAAGCCTTTCTAAATATACTCTGATTTTTTACCTTGTGACCTTGACCTTGAAGAGTAACATACTTTTAAAAAATGTTATACTTTGATTGAGAAGAGAAAGGGCTTTCCTATTTTACATGTGCATTACCTTTGAAAAGATGTTTCCGAGCATGATATGATTTTTTACCCCTTGGCCTTCATACTGTAAATCACCTTTTATTCGCGAGAACTTTATTTTCGCACAATTACGCGAGACGTTATGCTCGCGAAAATTTCAATCTCGCGTATAATATAATTCCTTAAGACTATATATAGCAATGTCCAAAATTCGTGAAAATTTTGTCTCGCTAGTAAAGAGTCAATGCCTATATCGCGAAAATAAGGTGTCGCGAAAATTAAGTGATCTACAGTATTTGCCTAATCTTAAAAAGATAAATAATGTTGTTGATTACTTTTAAGGAGGCTAGGGGGTCAATAAATTATTCTTTTATTAACCACCAGATATGACTTAAATTTTGGGATCTTAAGCTGTCAACTATCATTTGGCAAAGAAAAATTTCATAAATTTTAGTTTTAAAATTTGATCATTTTGTTATATCTTTATATGGAGCTCTTCTTCTACAGGAGATCAAAATAATCTAAAAATGGCCACAACCACCCAGCCTCTTTGAAGGACCTTTGAAGATGTTTCCCATTTTTGCACTTGAGATTCATTAAATAGTTGTCCCCAACATCCTTAAGTCTGGTGATCTAAATCCCCTTATTTCTGAAGATATGAAGCTTTTATCTCCCTTACTCCAGAGCAGTCAAGAATAACACTCAGAGCACTCTGGAAGCAGTTTTTTATGCATCTTTTGAAGCAGAATTTTATCATTAAAAGAATAAGCTTGGCAACCAATTTTTTTTTTATCTGTGGAGAGTATATGCTTTGTTCTTCACCACAAACAAAAAAGAGTTTACAAATCTAAGACCATTATGTAATTATTACATAACAAAGTTGCATTTTCCCCTTGAAAGAATGAACAAAAATACAGAAATTGTTAAATACAGGGTTGATAATGAATACTGTATCTGGTCAATTTATGTTCCAAATAAAGCCTAGGTATTTGTCTACTAGCTGCTGTGCAGAAGTTTATCTAAATGCTGTGTTGTAACTCAGGGCAGTCTAAATGATATCAGCACCTAGGGAGGTTCTTAACAGCTCCCACACTCCATTAAACTGGCTTTGATGATAAGAAAATGGAGACAACAATCCGGATGTAATGTATTGTTGTGATTATGAACTCCTCTTACATTTTACTCAGTAGCCTAACCAGCTTTTGGGAGATGGTTGGTGGGGTCATGTAGATGTGCAGTAAGGTTTTGGAATTTCGATTTTGCCCCGGGGGGTCAAATGAGGGTCGAAAAATGACGTTTTTTGTCCAAAAAGCCCCGTCTTCCCTGAACTCCTTCTACATTTTACTCAGTAGCCTAACCAGCTTTTGGGAGATGGTTGGTGGGGTCATGTAGATGTGCAGTAAGGTTTTGGAATTTTGATTTTGCCCCAGGGGGTCAAATGGGGGTCGAAAAATGACGTTTTTAAGCAAAAAGCTCCGTCTTCCCTGAACTCCTCTTACATTTTACTCAGTAGTCTAATCATCTTTTGGGAGATGGTTGGTGGGGTCATGTAGATGTGCAGTAAGGTTTTGGAATTTCGATTTTGCCCCGGGGGGTCAAATGGGGGTCGAAAAATGACGTTTTTTGTCCAAAAAGCCCCGTCTTCCCTGAACTCCTTCTACATTTTACTCAGTAGCCTAACCAGCTTTTGGGAGATGGTTGGTGGGGTCATGTAGATGTGCAGTAAGGTTTTGGATTTTCGATTTTGCCCCGGGGGGTCGAAAAATGACGTTTTTTGTCCAAAAAGCCCCGTCTTCCCTGAACTCCTTCTACATTTTACTCAGTAGCCTAACCAGCTTTTGGGAGATGGTTGGTGGGGTCATGTAGATG